GCAGGGAGCCCGACGCGGGACTCCATCCGTGGACTCCAGGATCATGACCCGAGCCGAAGGCAGTCGCTTAGCCAACTGAGCCAGCCAGGCGCCCCAAGAAGATACTTGTATTAAACCAGAAAGCGATGCGCATCCCGCGCAACCCGCCAAAGGGATGCGAGGGCAGAGCGCAACCTCGCTGTCCTACGGGGCTCGACGAACCCAGCCCCGCGGAGGGCGGGGGGCCCTTAACCAGCCGGGATACGGGGCGCCAGCAGGGCCGCCAGGGACGCGCACTCGTCCGCAGACAGCAGTGCAGCGGAAGCACTGGCGGCTTGCGCCCCGATGTGAACGCGGCAGCCGGCTCTCTGACCGGCCCCCCGCAGCCGTTAGGGGACTTCCGCCCGCGCCCTCCCTGCGGTCGCACGCGCGCCCGGCGCTCGCGTGACGTCACTGCGGCCGGCTTCCGGGGGGCTGCGTGATGACGCAGCGCGCGGGTGTGCGGGGGCGCTCCATGTGTCTCCGGCGGCAGGCAACTTCGGGGCGGCGCGGGCATCCGATGCCATCCGAGGTCGTCGGGGTTCCAGGCGGCGCCCGCCCCCGGCTGAGACCGGGTGAGCTCCGGCCGGGGTGCGGGTCGCGGCGGGGCGCCGGCCGACCTTCCGAGGGATGGGGTCGCGGCTGCCGCCGGGGGCGTGAACCCGGGGTCGGCCGACCGCGGCGTGCGCTGACCGCCTGTCCCCCCTCGCGGCGGTGCCCGGTCCCCTGCTGTCGCGGGAAGCTCTTGCGGAACCCGCCCGGCCTGCGGCTGCGGAGTGTGAGCGGAGCGGCGGCCTCCGTGCCAGGAAGACTGCAGGGAGAGGCCGCTCTGGGTAATGGCTGGGCGTACGGGTACCCCGTGGGCTTGCGATTTGAGGGGCTTTTGCTCCCGGGTGTCGGCGTCGCAGGGGCACCGCGGAAGGGCGCTGCTGCCGCCCGGCCCGCTCGCTAGGGCTGCCCGACCTGGAGCCCCGATCCTGCCCCGCGACCACTTCCCCGCTCAGCCCCCAGTACCGAGTGTACTGCTGTGTGCCCGGGGCCACGTGGGCTGCAAGCCTCCAGCGTGCTTGGGTCTGGGGTGACCCTGTGCATTCCTACAGTGCTTGCCAGAGCATCCTGAAACGGTTTGAGGCCTTGCCCTGCTCCATCCAGAGCAAGGTTATAGAAATTTCAGACAGGTGTCCGTGTCTGGTGTGGTGGCCACGTGCCACATATTGTTAGATAAAGCTAAATAGGCGTTTAAGTTCAGTTTCTTACTCCCAATACTAGCATCGCAGGTGCTCACAAGTTCTAAGCAGGGCTGCCGGAGGGGAGTGGCTCTCGGCAGAGGAAGACACTCCTGCTTGTGTCATACCTCCTAAACCTTAATTCTTTGCTCAGCTCGGTATTTTGAGCACCACGGTGAGGTGGTTTCTGTCCGGTACAGAACAGGGGCCCATGCCCGGGGTAGCCAGCCAGAAAATCGCGGGTCATGATGGAATGCCAGGCCTCTCCAGGCCCACCGTGTGCTCCTTTACAGATTCCTGACCAGGATGGAGCAGTGGAATCTGGAAGCGGGTGGGAAGCATAGGTGGGAGGAGGGTGCCCTTGCGTCCCTGCCTGGGTTTGAGCGCCGCTGGGTGTGGTCAGGGGTGGGCCAGGATCCTCATGGCAAGGCCACGTAGCTCTTGGCTCCTCTGGGTGGCCGGTCACGCCACATCTCTGTCGCAGTCGAGGCTTCTGGCAAACTTGGGGTCTGCCTCTTCAGTCCAGGTGCAGACGCTGAACACACCGGCCTGTGAGCTGCATTCGGGAGACGCTCCCTGAGGCTCCTGTGTCTGCAGTCCTGGGAGCAAGGCGTTGGCTGAACTTTGGCCCATCTTTTCAAGGATGTTGGAGTAGCAGACAGCCTGGGGATGGACGAGGTAGTGCCTCCCTCCAGAGCAGGCCTGCTCTCTACTGGGAGAGTTCTGGCTTTCTGGTACCGCACGGCCACCACATGTGCTGGGTGCCCCCTGGCTCCCCTGTGTCACCCTGTGGGAAGAATCAACTGTCTTTGTGTCTAATCAGAGAGCCTCACGTGTCCTACCAGCATCCCTAAAACTTGGGTGGGGTACCTTGTCAGCGGAGGGGGGGGGCAGGGTATACATCAGACCCTTCTCCATTTCTGAACGGCAACCCCCCAGCATAGGACACGTGGTGTCTGCCCTCCCCCACTGTTTCAGCGGCAGGAATCCCCAGGGGCCAGAGCCTGGAGAGCACCAAGAGGTGGCCTGGTCCGCGTCTGCGGGGCTGATCTGGGGTCTGCAGCAGTAAGTATGCTGCAGAGGCCTGTCTTCTGTTCATTTCCATGAGCCCCCGCCCCCAGAAGAATTTCAAAACCCTCGACTGGCTCTGGCCTTCCCATGTCAAGTCAGGTGATTGAGTCCCAGAGAGGTTCATTGCCTTCAAGCTCATGAGACTGTTTTTGCATAGCGGTGGTCTAGTACCTGGACTCCTGGGGCCCTGATTCTGTGGCCCAGCATTGGTGGATTCTGTGGTTTTGGATTTCACCTGCAGCCTTTTCCCCAGGACCCTGCTGGGTCAGTGGTGTGTTGGGCTGCTGCCACGTCCCGTCACAGAGACCTCAGCCCACTGTGGGGTCAGGAGGGGGATCCGGGTTCAGTTCCTTTTAGTTCCTTTCCGTCTCTCTGTGGCAACCAGCGTTTGGTCCCTGGCTGTGTGCTCACGTCGCTTGATTTCACAGCTCGCCTCCAAGCTGTTTCCACGTGCCTCCTCGTGCCTGAGGAAGTGGACCCTGGGATGTGGCCTGCACACGGACATGACCTGTGAGGGTGCAGCTGGGTTTGAGCGGCTGTCGGGCCCCCTTCTGTCTAAGCAGGTATGCGTCCTCACTGGCTCCCATTCAGGGAGGAGAGGGGGGTTTCCGGTTCGGGCCCAGACTGGGGAGTGGGCAGCTCAGGGCCTGGTGTGCACATCTGACTGACGTTTCTCTGCCCCCAGGTTTGGGTGCCACACTGCTCCCGAAACGAGGATTCTTGCTCTGCGTCGGGGCCCAGGCCCCTCTGACCTGTGCAGGAAACAAGGGGTGATTAATAAACAGTCTTTTCAGCGTGTGCTGCGACCAACTTGTCTCCTTTCCGTGTGCTAGATACAAGGAGCGGGAGCCCTGGCTGTGAAGGGAGTGGTGGCCAAACTCCTTCAGCCCCGAGGTGTCTCCTTGCTTGATGCCCGGGTCTTTGCAGAGTGCCAAGTGGGTGATGGGCTACCGACACCTGCCATCGGGAGCTTGCCCTGGGGATCCTGGATGGGTTCTGCTGCCTTGACAGGCTCGTCTGCCTCTTGTCCTCCCTAGTGTGGGTCAGACTTGGGAGCGAGGCTCATCTTCACATGTGGGCACACACAAGTTTGTCCATGTGGGAGTGATGCACATGCTCGGTTGGCTTCGTTTGAAAAGTAACACATCCAGGCGCAGCCGGACACTTTTACGTTCGGTTTGTTCCTGATGTCATGGCAGCTGCACCCCCGACACACACACACACACCCGGATGGGAAGAGTGGGAGGTGGCCTCTGAGGTGCCCTGCGGAGGCCCTTCCCTGCAGCAGCCCGCAGTTCTGCATGTCCTGAGATGAGCTGGACCTGAGTCTTCAGTGAGCTGGGGAACTGGAGGGGGCTTGGCATCAGCAGGGGCCAGGGTGGGGTCCCCAGCAGCCCCCTGCCCTCCTGCTTGGTGCCCCAACTGAAATCCTCCAAGGGGTTTGTCCAGCCCAAGAGGAGGGGAGACAGACCAGGAAGGGAAAAGACATGCGATGTCCTCCTAGCCTTGGGACAGAGGAGGCATGGGCCTTAAGTCCTCACTGCAGACTCCGCAGTTAGGCTCAAGGTCACGGTGGCAGGGTCTAAAGCCCAACAGCAAGCTCCGCCCAGGGGCCAGATCTCCAACCTCAAAACGGTCTTGACATTTCTACCAGGAAAAACCCAAAACTATCCAGTGACGTGAAAATCGTATCAAGTTGAGGTTTCAGAGCACGGACTGAGTTGTTCCTCAATTTAAACCCTGGGCTGGAGGAACCCATGGGTTGAGAGGTTGAGGAAGTAAAACCCCGGGACCAGATTCTCCGGAGCGTTGGTGTGAAAAAGCCCTTCAAAAGCACCAGCCCCATGGCGCCTGGGTAGCTCAGAGGGTTAAGCATCTGCCTTCAGCTCGGGTCGTGATCCCGGGATCCTGGGATCGAGTCCCGCGTCGGGCTCCCTGCTCCTTGGGAGCCTGCTTCTCCCTTTGCTTCTGTCTCTCTCTCTCTGTCTCATGAATAAATAAAATCTTTAAAAAAAAAAAAAACACCAGCCCCAGAGCTGGGAGGGTGAATGAATCCCGAGGGAACAGTCAGGCCAACAGCCCTTTGGGATGGTGCACAAGGGCGTGGGCCCTGATTATCAGGCTTTTGAATAAACACTTTTCCAATCTTACTGGGTATGTATTCATCCTAATGAATTTGAAAGGGTAAAAAAAAAAAAAATCCTTGCCTGTCAATTTTTCCAGTTTAAAAACGTGAGCTCATTGAAAGGCAATTATTACAGGAGCCTCGAGTACAGAATCCCCCAGGCAGCATGTGGATGACTCACTTTTGGCAAATACTCTGGCCTCCCCGGAGTGGGGGTTGAGAGAACTGCCCGCCTGGAGGATGCCATGAGGTCAAGGAGGCTGTCTGGAGACAAATCTGAGCCAACCAGTCTGCAGCTTCTAACGGTGCTGTGAGGAACCAGGTGGGACAGGCAGGGGGCCTTCTGGGTAGCGTCCGGAGGTCCGGGCCTGCAGCCCGACTCCGAATCTCAGTCTGAGGAACCAGACCGCCAGCCCTGCGGTGCAGTGTGACGTGACACTGGTTTTGTCATTTACATCCTGCTGTGGTCTTGCACATTTTGAAGAATGTTACCCGAGGCCCCGCCCCCAAAGGCCTGGCCACCAGCATTTCCCACTTTTTAATCAAGATACAAGGTACCTAGCCAAAGATGCACCTAGTGTGGAACTCCGGCTGTTAACAGAGGTTTGATAGCCGTGACGGCGTCAAGCCACACAGGTGACGCCTACTCTTGGGGTGAGGGGTAGGCGCGGAGACCACAGAGGGTCAGAGCTTACTGAGGAAGCCAGCAGGAACCCTCCAGGGCACCCGCCTCACTGTCAGGCGTGCCCGCCCTCTGGGTGCGGGAACCAGGAAGCGGGGGTCAGAGCCCCTCGGGAGGGAGCGGCAAGTGGGGAGGGCAGCCCCTCCCTGGGGCCAGAACCCACTTCCTACTTCACCGCACCGCTCGGAGGCGGCCCGGAGGGCTGAGCCTGCTCGGAGCACCCTTCCTTCCACCCTTCTGCACAGGAAGGCCGGGGGAACCTGGCCTGGGTGCCTCCCGCTAGCAGGATGGACGAGGAAGGGCCGGATTGCGGCAAACCCGACTTTGTGCTTTTGGACCAAGTGACCATGGAGGACTTCATGGAGAACCTCAAGCTCAGGTAGACAGAGGGCTCTGACTTCCTCTCCCGAGCCCCCAGGCTCACTGGTCTCCATCAGCCCAGGGTAGGGGCAGGAGGTGGGGTTGCACACACCCCCACCCGGACCACTGTATGGGTGACGGCAGGGGGTCCTGGCGGGGGTGGGGGGGGCCCGGGAGGACAGCCCTCCCAAGGCCAGGGCGGCCAGCCAGGGCTGGAGCAGGCTTCCCAGACCCCTGCCTCCCACATGGCCTGGGTGTCTTCTGCTCCTCCTGCCCAGCAGGGACAGGCAGGTGCTGGTCCCCCTGACTGGGTGCACTGTCCATCTGCCACTGGGGATTGTGCTGGGCCCTGGGGGCTCTCAGGGAGGGGGGCAGGTGCTGTCCCAGGGGGCAGGCGCTGTCCCGGGGTGCAGGTGGACAAGCTGAGATGACACTCGGAGGGGGGGGTGCATGGGGTGCCACAGGGCGTGGCTGGTAGAAGCGACATGGGGTCTGATTGCCCTGGAGGAGCCAGGGGATGGTGAGATGGGGTGGCCCCGGGGAGCTGGACAGCTGGATGGCTTCATCCTGGACAGCCAGTGGGAGGACAGGGCGGCTGCTGTGCAGGGTTAGGGGATGGGGCCCCCTGAGCACACACTGTTGAGATTAGAGGACAGGAAATGGGCTATTTTGTATGGGGCCCAAAGCTAGGTATAACTTCACAGCGTTCTTCTACACTAGCCTGTGAGACAGGCATGACCATGTCCGTTTTAACAGTGGAGCACTGAGCCCGGGCCACACGGCGTGCAGGGGGGCAGGCGGGGGACAGATGAGAGAGGGTGTGGAGGGAGCGCGCCGGGGGAACTCCCTCATCTGAGGTGGTGGCGGAGGAAGAGGAACCCCTGACTGATGGGGGTCGGACCACAAGCCGCCAGGGAAGGGCGGGTCCCAGACAAAGCGGGAGCTGAGCTGGCTGGCCGAAAGGTCAAGAGAGGGGCAGACAGAGGTCCAGGACCCTGAGTTCCCAAAAGGAAGGGTTGAGAAGTAGGAGGATGTGCGGGGGGAGGATGACCCCTGCATCCCCAGGCCCCCTCCCTGCGCCCCTCCTAGTCCCAGCCATCTGGGTGGGGCTGGGCGGGGTCCCCTGCTGCCTCTGGGTCCCCACCCAGGCCTCAAGACAGGAAACAGTCCAAGGCCCCTCCCTCGGCCTCCAGCCCCTTTCTCCTCTCCACCTCCACCCCTTGGCTCTACCTATCCCTTCATAAATCGGGTGGTGGAGATTCCTGTGCCGTCAGGCCCCCCCCCCCAGCCCCCACAGGGAGCAGCGTCGGCCCCAGCGCTACCCTGCAGTGGGGGTGGGATTCCAGTGAGATGGCACTGGGAAGGGTCAGGTCAACCCGCACTCCTTCCTACTCTCATCCCTGGGGTGGGCCAGGGCGCCCGAGGCTCCCCACATGGGCCCAACGCCCCAGCACCTGGGTGTGCGTCCCCACAGCCCTGAGCGCTGAGGCCTGGCCCCGCCTGTGCCAGGTTCGAGAAGGGCCGCATCTACACCTACATCGGCGAGGTGCTGGTGTCCGTGAACCCCTACCAGGAGCTGCCCCTATATGGGCCTGAGGCCATCGCCAAGTACCAGGGCCGCGAGCTCTATGAGCGGCCACCACACCTCTACGCCGTGGCCAATGCCGTGTACGGGGCAATGAAGCGCCGCTCCAGAGACACCTGCATTGTCATTTCAGGTACCTGCCTGGTGGCCGGGGCCCGGGCAGCCTCCACAGACCCCACTGGAGGGGGCGCCCAGGGGGCTGGTCAAGGGGGGTGGCCACTCTTTCTGTTTGACCATCCATCTGCCTGGCAGGGGAGAGTGGGGCAGGGAAGACAGAAGCCAGCAAGCACATCATGCAGTACATCGCCGCTGTCACCAACCCCAGCCAGAGGGCCGAGGTGGACAGGTGAGGGCAGGCAGGGCTGGCGCAGGGGCGGCCCTGGGCCTCAGGCCTGGAGGGGAAAGAGATGTGAGTCAGCCTGGCTCAGGCCAGGTTCAGAGGGCTCCTCTGCAGGAGGGCTCCAGGTGACCCGCCCAGAACCTGTCCACCCAGCAGAGGCAGGGCACGGTGCCACGGGGGTCCCGCCACTAGGAAGAGGGAAGAGGCAAGGTGCACGGAGCCAACAGACGGGGGCTGGGCCCCTCGCAGGAGACCCCATGGAAGGGAGAAGCTGGGCAGATGGTCAGGAAGGGCCTGGACCCGGATGGGGGCCCCCCTGTCCGCCTCCTCACCAGCTGCTCACCGGCTGTTACCAGTGGGGCCTCGTGGCAGCAGCTTCCTGTGTGAGCGCCCCAGCTCTTCCTGTCGGGAGGGGCGAGGTGGGGTTCCAGGGGCGGGGGCACCGGCGGCTGGCCGCTGCCCACCCTGGCACGGGAGGTGGAGGGCAGTGTGCAGCTCCCGCTCCTCTCTGCAGGCGGCAGCATGCCCAGGCGAGGAGCTGCCCTTCTCGCCACACCAAGCACAGCACCGGGCAGGTGGCCTTCCCAGCCAGTCCCCAGCCTGTGCCATGGGGGGCCTTGGGCAGGGGTGCTGGGCAGGCACAGTCCCGGGACGAGTTCTGTGCCCTACAGCCCGGCCCCTCTGCCCCGCACAGGGTCAAGGACGTGTTGCTCAAGTCCACGTGCGTGCTGGAGGCCTTCGGGAACGCACGCACCAACCGCAACCACAACTCCAGCCGATTCGGCAAGTACATGGACATCAACTTCGACTTTAAAGGAGACCCCATCGGGGGGCACATTCACAGCTACCTGCTGGAGAAGGTGGGTCCTGAGGCCACAGGTCTCCCGCGCTGACCCTCCCAGGTCTGGGGCCCTGGGGAGCGGGGGCGAAGAACTCACTTTCTCTGAGGTCCCAGGCTCTGCCTGCACCACCCAAGGGGCTCTGGGTGGGTCCCCTGGGTGGGGTCCCCTGGGTGGTGCTGCAACCCAGGCAAGGGCCCAGCTGCCCCTCCCTCCACAGTCTCGAGTCCTCAAGCAGCACGTGGGCGAACGGAACTTCCATGCCTTCTACCAGGTGAGCCAGAGCAGCGGTGTGGGGGTGCCCGGGAAGCCCTTCCGATGGCCCCGCTCTCAGTCCCTTTTCCCCCTCCCTGCCGTGATACCCCCAGCCCCCCGCCCTCACTGGAGGGGGATCTCCCGGGACACCAGCAGGGTGGTGTCTACACTGGGTGAGATGGCGTCTGCCTGGATTCAGGTGATGTCTCCACCAGCACTGAGCTCCCCTGTGTCGGTCCTCTGGCATGTTTGGGGGGGTCTTTGCAGTTCTGAGGGCCTGAGCCAGGGATGTGCGGGCCCCCAGGTGCTGCGGGGCTGTGAGGACGCAGAGCTGCGGAACCTGCACCTGCAGAGGAACCCCGCCGTGTACAACTTCACCCGGCAGGGCGCAGGGCTCAGTGTGAGTGGGGGCAGGGCTCCGCGGGAGCACCAGGCGCCATGTTCCGGGGTCGTGGGTATGGGCGCTCAGTGGGATTGCTGGTGCCCCAATGTAACAGGCACTCCCTGGGAGGACCTCGGGGGTTCCACGTGGCCCTGGGGTGCTGAGCCCCTCGTCCTGCAGGCCTTGGAGAGTGATGAGAGGAGCCACTACCTGGCAGTGATGGAAGCCATGCGGGTGATCGGCTTCAGTGCTGAGGAAGTGGGCTCTGTGCACCGGATTCTGGCAGCCATACTGCACCTGGTGAGCCTGGCTGGGGGCTGCGGGGCCACTGCCCCTGGAGAAGGAGACTGACCTTGGACGGCCCAGCCATGTAGCGGGCCCATCCTGCCCTCCATGGGGCTGAGTGCATGGCTCCCAGCTCCTGGAGGCTAGACCCAGAGCTGGGGGCTCTGTGTGCCCAGATGGGCGGGTGAGGCCTGCAACACGCCCGGTCTATCTAGCAGATGAGGCTGCACTAAGCAGGCCCAGAAGTGCAGGCTCAGTAACGCTGACATTGTGCAGATGCGTCCTGCTTCTGTCAGGCGCGGTCTGGCTGGCTTTGGACAGTTCCTCAGCACGTCTGAACCTCCATTCCCTGTGAGGCGGCCTGAGGAGCAGGGGGTGCATCACGGCTGCAGGCGGCGCCAGGGGACCACAGACGTGATGTTCTGGGCAGGAAGCCTTGGAGAAGGCTCTGCTGTGCTCCAGGGGCCGTTCCCGCATCCAGGGCTGCATCGGTTCCAGAAGCCAGGCCCTGCCACACCCCCAGCCCTGTCTTTCCTTCCTTCTCCCTGGGCAGAGGTGTGCAGGCAAGCTCCGCTGGGACATGGAGCCTGACTGTCCTGGCTCCCCATCCCCAGGGAAACATCGAGTTTGTGGAGACAGAGGGGGCCGGGCCGGAGCAGGGGCACCTGGCCGTGGCTGAGGAGCTGCTGGTGGACCATGTGGCTGAGCTGACAGCCACGCCCCGGGACTTGGTGCTGCGCTGCCTGCTGTCTCGCACGGTGGCCTCAGGAGGCAGGGAACTCATTGAGAAGGGCCACACTGCAGCTGAGGCCAGCTATGCCCGGGACGCCTGTGCCAAGGTCCTCTGGGGGCAAGCTGTGGGGAGCGAGGCGGGGACACCCAGGGGGCCTTCCTGGAGGCGGCGACGATGGAGGCAGCCGGAAGTAGCTGGATCCTGGCCTCTCCCCAGGCAGTGTACCAGCGGCTGTTTGAGTGGGTGGTGAACCGGATCAACGGTGTCATGGAAACCCGAGGCCGGGATCCCCGGCGAGACGGCAAGGACACGGTCATCGGTGTGCTGGACATCTATGGCTTTGAGGTGTTCCCTGTCAACAGGTGGGGAGCCCGACCACCATGTCCCCGGCTCTGACCCCAACCCCTAGGGCCAACTTGGTCCCGCGGAACTCTGCTGGCCTGGGGAGCAGGATGTCCGGCGTCTGTCCCAGCCAGTCCCTGGCCCCGGGCTCAGGCCCCCGAGCCTGCCTCACCTGTGCCACCCGTCCAGCGGTGCCCACCAAGGCAAAATTGGGGGCTCATGTCCCATGGCCACGACCCCCAAATCCACTGGGGAGCATGCGTGCCAGCAGTGGGGCTGGAGGGGGAGAATCACCCCTGCCGTAGGGCTCCGGGGGGGGGAGGGCCTGCCCCCGACGCATGAGCTCTGCACAGAGCCCGAACCCCCAAGCTGGGCCGGCAGGGCGTGACTGTGCGTCCCCTGTGCCCGCCCGCAGCTTCGAGCAGTTCTGCATCAACTATTGCAACGAGAAGCTGCAGCAGCTCTTCATCCAGCTCATCCTGAAGCAGGAGCAGGAGGAGTACGAGCGGGAGGGCATCACCTGGCAGAGCGTGAGTGCCGGCCTGGGCCTCGCGGGTGGGGCTGCGAGGGCCGCAGGGTGCAAGCGGGGTGGCCGGCGGGCAGACTGGGAGCTGCCCTGCACCCCCTGCCCAGGTGGACTACTTCAACAACGCCACCATCGTGGAGCTGGTGGAGCGGCCCCACCGGGGTGTGCTGGCTGTGCTGGACGAGGCCTGCAGCGCCGCAGGCACCATCACCGACCGCATCTTCCTGCAGAGCCTGGACACGCACCACCGCCACCACCCCCACTACACCAGCCGCCAGGTGCTCCGCTGCCCCCGGCGCTCACCCCAGGCCCCGCACCCCAGCTGGTCCCGGGGCAGCACCCCCCTACCCCTCCCAGGCACCGTGCTGCAGGTCTCGGTGGGGCCTCGGTGGCTCGGCCTCTCCAGCACTGCCCCCTGCACAGACCTCCACCCTGTGCCTTGACCCTGGCGCGCCACCCCATTCCCCAGCTCTGCCCCACAGACAAGACCATGGAGTTTGGCCGAGACTTCCGGATCAAGCACTATGCGGGGGACGTCACGTAAGGAACTCTCCCCTTCTTAGCACGCTGAAGACGTGCCTGACACCAGAGTCATGAGTGGAAAGCATGAAATGGGGCTCTTAAGATCAGAGCTCTCAGCCCTGGCTGCACTATAGAAGCCTCTGGAAGCTTTAAAAAAAAAAAAATACCCGTATCTAGGCTCCACTTTGGACAATGCCTGGGGGGGGGCACGCTATTATGGAGGTGCAGGTTAGCTGAGGGGGGCAGACAGGCCACAGTCTGCATTTCCAGCAAGCCCCCAGGCACACCCTCAGGACCAACCTCAGGAATCCATCAGAAATCTCTGTGACATTATTATTAATTTACCTGTGCTCCCTTCATCCTGAGTGGGACTTGAGGTGACTCACGGAGGCACATGTATCTAATGTGTCCTTCACAAGGACAAGTGGGGGGACAGTGCCGCCAGAGGTCAGACCCCTTGCCCTGAGTCTGCATGGGGGCTGCAGGTGCAGGGAGATTTTGGAACTGAGCTTTCTAGACTTTTGTCATCAAAGGGCAAGGCAAGGAATTTGAGGTTCTCAGTGCCACAGAATCAAAGCAGACCACTGCCTCGGGAGTTCCTGGGTATGACTATCATTGCTGATGCTGACGGAAACTCAGCAGGCACTGATCTGGGCCTGTGATGTATACTGGGGCACAGACAGGTTAAGTCCCTGGTCCCAGGTCACACAGCACGAATGCGCTAGAGCCAGGGTCCAGTGCTGTGGGCATGAGCGCCGACTCATCCTCCTGGAGAGACACCTCAGAGGGAAGGAGTCTTACGTGCTGAGAAAGAAAGCGGGTGTGGGAGCGGAGGGAGGGAGGCTAGCCTAAGAGAACAGAGGCAGGAGAGGAGGGTGAGGGGCTTCCTGGGGGCTGTCAGAGGCCCCTTGCCCCTCACCAGCCCTGGCCCCACAGGTACTCAGTGGAGGGCTTCATTGACAAGAACAGAGACCACCTCTTCCAAGACTTCAAGCGGCTGATGTACAACAGGTGCGTGGGGGCCCGAGGCCGGAAGGGCCTTCATACACTCGGGTCTGACACCTGTCTGATGGGCTGACAGCCTGAGGTTTGACACTAAAGCCACAAAGCTTACCAGTGGCAGAGCTGGGGCGAGGACTGCCCTCCAGAGGGCGGCTAGCTATGTGGCCTGTGTCTACAGCTCGGACCCCACCCTGCGGGCTATGTGGCCAGACGGGCAGCAGGACATCACGGAAGTGACCAAGCGCCCCCTGACGGCTGGCACGCTCTTCAAGAACTCCATGGTGGCTCTGGTGGAAAACCTGGCCTCCAAGGTACTGCCCCGGCCCCCGCCCTGGATCTTTGCAGGTCCTCCTGTCTGTGCCTGGCCGGCAAACTGGGCCCTCACCGCCTCTGCACATCACGGGGAAGGTGGTGTTCATTTCCTGTCTGCTGTGAGCTGCATCCCCACCCCCACCCCAGCCAGGAGGAACCCACCACCGTGCAGGTTAAGATGTCCTGGGTCAGGCTGAGGCTTGAGTAAATGTGAGATTTGAACAGCCTTCCCCTGTCCTCCCGGCCTCTTGGGCGGGAAGGGGCTGGGCATGGCTTACAGGGCGAGAAGGCGGCACTAGCTGCTTGCAGAGCTTGGGGCCTAAAGGCAGAAGGGGGGCAGCAGGGGGACACCAGAGCCCGCTTAACCACACAACATCCAGAGAGTCAGCCTGGCCTCTGCAGCCTGGCAGGGCTCCTGGCTGCCCTACCACCTCCTGACCCAGCCGCTCGGCCTCCCCTCCCCCCTGCAAGAGCCTCTTCCCTGGGCAGCCGGCAGGGAGGGACAGCTACACACCTGCCCTGCAGCCACGGAGGCTGATGGTGCTGTCCCTGCGTGTCCTCTGTTGTGGCAGGAGCCCTTCTATGTCCGCTGCATCAAGCCCAATGAGGACAAGGTGGCTGCCAGGCTGGACGAGGACCACTGTCGCCACCAGGTCGCGTACCTGGGGCTGCTGGAGAATGTGCGGGTCCGGAGGGCCGGCTTCGCTTCCCGCCAGCCCTACCCTCGATTCCTGCTCAGGTACCACTCCCTGCTAGCCCGGAGCTCCATCTCCCCGCCTGTCTGTGCCCCCATGGGCCAGGGTCCTGTGAGGAGTGGGACGGGTGGGCAGAGGGTCCCACACCCGGCCAGTGCTGCTCAGATGCGGACACGCGCGACACGGACAGCGAGGATGCTGTGTGACCCAGGGGACGGGGTGGGCAGGTGCTGGGCATGTCGGATCCAGAGCTCAGTGCCCACTGCCCTGTCCTGCGGTGACAGGTACAAGATGACCTGTGAGTACACGTGGCCCAATCACCTGCTGGGCTCTGACAGGGCAGCTGTGAGTGCCCTCCTGGAGCAGCATGGGCTGCA